TCCCGGTCAACAAATTTCCCTCAAGATCAAGCACTTCAAGCTTCTCTAAACCCCAAACTACCTTAGGAATTTCGCCATTAAGTTCATTGTAAGGCAGCGATAAAACTCTAAGCTCAGTGAGCTTTCCAACCCAAGGTGAAAGCTTTCCAGCTAAATTTCCACTACTACGTGAACTAGTTCTCCACACCCCAAACCCGTTAAACGGAAATTGAAGTTTCAAAGTCTCAGAGCAAGAAAGAGCTTGAAAATTACCTCCTTCTCCATCAATGCCCGTGATTCTGAGCGAGACGACCCTGGATTTGGAGTCGCAGGAGACCCCGAGCCACGAACAGTAGTGGTCGGAGCTGTTTGAGCTCCAGCTGGAGAGAACCCCATATAGGTCTGGAAATGAGCTCTTTATCTCAAGCAAAATCGATTTCTCGGAAATCAGCGCTTCCCCGGAAACGGAAGAGAAAACGCAGCAACATAGTAAGCAGAAGACGTTGACTAAAAGCACGGTCTTGGAGAGCAGATGGCATCTCATTTTCTCAGAAACAAGAGGGTAAACGGCGTCGTTGCGGTTTCCACCTTTACCTCCTTCTTCGTCTTCCATATCTGCTTCTTCTGGTGTTTACGGAGAAGACTCTGAGGTCTTTTGAGGCGCTTCTCTTAAGTTGTTCATTATTATATTGGTTTTTCTTCTGCTGGTTTTAGATTGGAAAATTCATTGCCCAATGGCAGAGAGCGTGGGTGGGGCCCAGTCGACTTTAAGTGGTGTTGTGTGGGGACCATTGTTGGTCAATGAACGCATAAGGTCGTCAACATATGGTTGCTGCTTGTAAAACCATGCGAATACTGGGGCCCTGCATGTTTGTCAACGTGGCGGTCTTTCTGTGCCACCTGCCGTCAGGAGACATTCTGCTTTTCATTCTCTTCTTGCTTAACGACTAAATAATAATAATAATAAACAATTATTGTTTCCGTTCAAATTATTATTTAATCAAACCTAATAATTTTCACAAAATCAATTTCCTAATTTTGGTCCGAATTATCGTCAATAGTTTCTATTTTCTCTAATTGAATGTTACAATTTCAATGATAATTTACAATTTCCGCCCAAATTCTGATATTGCTCACAAAATCTGATAATCGCATATCACATCATTAGTTAATGTGAGATAATTACCACTACTTTCTTCAGTGAAAAGTTAACTGGAGCTGGTTGTTCTGATTGTAAAACAAATTAACCCAAAGCAATGTTATTTTACGAAAATTCTCCAATAAATATTTTATGTTAAGGATAGATTACATATTTCTAATCTCGACCATTGAACTGCATGTCTATTGCATATTAAATCTACCAACACATCTAATCAATACAATCGAACGACCGAAATTAGAAATATATAACTAATCCTTAGCTTAAACGAACCCTTAAGTTCAAATATATGTAGACCAAAGAAATCTATAGATTAAGTTGACCTTGAGGAGGGCATTATTCTCACACAAATAACAATTACAGTGTACTCTAAATCATAGTGTACAATGAATTATATTTTTATCTTTGAAAAACCACTTATGAATTCAGAATTAAGAATTAAGAATCAAAGAAATATATATCTCCCTCTATTTGGTATTTGTTGTGGCTCTGGTGGCACACAGCCACTGCCTTGGGGTCTCAATGTCATCACCTGTGGTTGTTGGCACGTGCCACCGCCCATCCTCCGACTCCTGCATTTACATCACCCAACAATTCATTCATCAACTTGTGTTCTAGGCTGTTACAACTCCATACAACTAAAGCAAAAGTTTGTGTTTATACTCAACAACTAGATGAAAGAAAGAAGAAAGACATTATTGGCTGATTATCACACCTGAATTACAATTGAATATGGCGGTGGCATGTGAAGGGCAAGTCCCTGCCTCGAGACTGACATTCGAACCTGCAAAATATTCACATATAAACAGTGAACAATTTAATTGATTTATTTTTCAAATTTCTGGTTACTGGTATTTGCCATACTATCTAAGAAATAAATACAAGAACGGCCAAATGCCCTTTCAAATGTCTCCTCCCTTACTATCTTTGAGAAATTGGGGGATACATTTAAAGAGGGATCCAAGCAAAAAGCCCCCTCAAGCTGTTTGCATGGATGGATAGACAATTCGGACAAGATTTTGACTACATACCAAAGATTCTTCTAGATATTGAGAACATAAATCAGCAGAAGCATGATACCTGATGTTTTTCCTTCCATCTTGGGAAAAAGTTAGTCCCTAGAAGTTGGAACAAGTGGTCTCTCATCTCATCGTTTGTCACTAGCAAACACTTGGAATTAACAGAAGCATATAACCAGTACCTATAAATCACACGGGAATACCTTTTAGGCACATTCAAACTCTGGTAACAATTAGAGACCTATAGATGAGTATATATATATATATGCTGCAACCATTCGTGTATATATTTCTCCTTTTCAACAGGCAACAATCTCTAAGAAATCAGTCCAATCATTTTATTGCTCAAGATATGCAAACTTACCAATCATCATTTGAACCAGCTGGGGTAGCATAAAGTGCACCAGCCTTTTTCCAACTCTCTAACAATTTCTTGTTCTTAGGATTCTGAGCAGGGCCACCAGTTACACGATTTGTGTGTAATATAACAAGTGGCAACCTCTTTGATGGGCTCATTTGGTGTAACCGGTTCACCAGAGTATTGAGCTACAACCAAAGATGGAGTCATGAAGTAGCCTATTTATATACTGATATGAAGAAATCAAACTATGGAGTGTTACAAAACTAATCATAGTCTCCCACTCACCTGGGAAAAGCTGAAATTATGTAGATTGATAAGACCCACATTGGCACCATCTATAACGGCATCAAATGGACCATGCTTCTGAAGCCACTCCTGGATGATTTTAACTTCTAATCAATCATGACAGCTGACAAACATATTATGTATCATTTGCCTGAATCATATAAAATATGAGATATCGACCATTGACTAATTAATGAAATTGGTACATGATAACATGACAAGAAAACACACGCGGAATGGGGGGTTTGACAACAATTGGATCTCACAAGATTGGGAAGGCACTGCCACTAGTACTCTTTATAAACTGTGCCTCCTAATAGAGTTTCTTTCTTTTTTTGGTCGGACCTAATGGAGTTATGAAGCTATTTTCCCAATAAACCCAAGCTTAGGAGATATCATATCACATACACTGTGTTCTAAATTCTAATGTCAGTCTTGACCTCTAAGCGGGATTGAAGCACTAATCATCACAAAATTAGTATTTAGTTAAACACCAATATAGTTGCAAACAATTTATATAACTTAATGCATACATCCACAAGGCCCTCCAAGGGGGAACTCTTTCCATTAATATAACGACATGAATATAAAGATGCATATCAATCGCATAAGTTCATCCAACCATTGAGCTTTCAAATTTTCGAATTATGATATGCTAAAGTTAAAACTTGAATCTTAAAACTCTAATGCGTCATGGGTAACTAATTTTCTTAAAATCTCAGAAACTGAAGACAAATAAACAAGGAAAGCAGAGTTGCACCTTGAACTGAAAAAAATCAGCCTTAACCTCCCTTTGGCTAGCCAATTTGCTCAAAGAGGTAGCAAAATTCTCAGTTTCTTTTGGATCAATATCGATAGAAACAAGCTTTTGGCCGCAACAAGAGCATGTCCCTGCTTCATCCATCTGAGTCCTAACCACCCTCCAATTCCCACTCCCCAACCACCCTTGCCCATGCCACCCACCACCTCCTCTCACAACCCCTTCCCTCACCTTCTCCACATCCCAACTCTCCATCCCAACATTCGCCGCCTCCTCCGACATAAACCACTCCTCCACCACCCCAGAAGTGGACTCGGAGACCTGCCTCACGGAAATCCGCAACCGGTGCAACATCTCATAAGCCTTGTCACCCTTGCTAGAATCAGAACTAACTTTTAACAAAGCAGAAATCTCAGGCTCCTCAGAGATGACCTTAGATTCTACCATGTGGGCATCAACTTCATAAGCTCTATCAGCCTCCCCCTTCTTACAGAACCCAAACAATGCCGGGCCGTAGGACCTCAACTTGGGCGGAATCCCAAGACCCTTCATCTGCTTCACCAAATGAAAGGCCATTTCCGGGTCCTCTGCCGCTGCCGCAAGCCTAGCAGCACTGGTAAACGTGGCCTCATTGGGCACAACCTTATCATCAACCATCTGGCGAAAAATCTCAAAACCCCTCTTCAAACCCACACCATCATCATCAGCACCACCATTGGAAGAGCACAAATAAAGCAAAACATTATAATGGTGCAGACTAAGCGGGAGCCCTCTACTTCTGGCCTCATCATAAAGCCTCAGAGCTTCGACCAGGTGGCCATGCCTGGAACACATGTCGAGCTTGTGCCTCAGTACCCCCTCCGGCGATTCTCGCCTTGCTTTCTTCTTGGATTTGTTGGAAACCAGTGGCGCCGAAGCCGAACGCGAAGGTGAATTATTGGAGAGAGCCAGAGTGCAAAGATGGAGCCTTTTGTCCATGGAGAAGTTGTCCATGGAAGTTGGGGTCAGTTTAGGTTTCGGGAAGTGGATAGTTGTACGAAAAATGCAGCGAGAATTGCGGGAGATTAGGGGAAGTGGGATTTTGATGAACAAGGAGAAGAGAGGTGGGGTTCTGGCGAGAGCGCCTACCATTTTTTTAATTTCTTTTGGGTTCTTGTTGTGGATTGTAAATTTGTAACGCAAAGCAATTATTGGGTTACTGAAAACAAGTCTGGTTATTTTCTCTGTTATTCATGTTTGCAGGGCTGAGAGTGAGAGTTGAGCAGAGAGGTTGAAAACGTCTGCAACTATCTAAAACCCTAGCTGCCACTCCGTGAGCGGGAAACGACACGTCGTAGCGGGCTTGCTTACTTAACTTCCTCTCTCTCTTTTTTTTCTTTTTTCCATGACCAAATAAATAAATAAATAACTAAGAAAAAAGAAAGAGAGGGAGAACCATACAACGAAAATGTGCGTAGTGTAGTTAAAAAGTCATAATTAAGAATAACCAGGACGAGATTTTGTTTAGAGGAAGACACAGACAAGCATGTTAAAACCGAAGATGTATTATCAATGCCTCTGGAAAGAAGACTAGTTTCATTTAGATAACAAACCAGCTAAACGTATACAGCTACACATATGCAGCTCTCTGTGAATTCACCAATTAATTTGATCATCTTCAAGCAAGACGATCCACAGTCAAGAAATAACTTCCCACCATGATGAATGATGCAATCCCACTGTGAGCCATCCGTAACCCAAGGCCACGGAACAGGAGATTCCTGTCTGCAGGGTGAATCCCTGTAAGTCTCTCAAACCTATTCCCTGGTCTTCCCCATTTCAGAAGCTTCCTCTCCGTGGAGACAAACTGCCCAAAACAAAACACAAACTTTCAACATTCATTACCAAAGCAACCTTATTAATAAAAAAAACACCCATTGCAAGGCATTTTGTTGAGCTGATGCTAGTAGATCACGCCCAAAGCAGACTAACGTCGCCAAGAACAGGTAGCATACCTTGGGCAGCACAATACATTGTGATCGAGACTTAGCAGTGTCAAAACAATGAGAAGCAGCTGCAGCAACTGAACCAGAAACTCCAGCAGCAAGACTCACAGCCCAAGGAGACAGCGGACCAATTTCATCATCCGACCTTAGACAAAGAAAATGCACTTCAGTGTAAAAAGAAAAAGGGTACGTTAATTTATTTTTTACATGTAAGCATTGGATGCACAGAGATGAGAAATGCAAAATATGGTGCTTGATGGTGTGATTGAACTAATACGGGGTAGGTCATAGCAAGTCCCTTTAATACCTAGGTTCTGGATCCATCCCCACTGCCTTCCAGTCAAGCATTGCTCGGTGCAGGGATTGCCAAGTAGAGAAGAATATGCCACCAAAAACTGAATCCCGAACAACCCCTGACCGTAGGCCTCTCCATAATGCACCCCATCCTTCTAAAGAGATGACTTCAGATGGTTTCCTAACACTGAACACGGATGGTGGCCTTCCAGATCCCGTCATCATCCATGGATACTCTTGTAAAGCACTCGTCATATTGGGATGTTTGGTTGTTAGGGTGGATAAAAGGCCAACAGAAGAATTTAATGCCTTCATGTCTGGAATATATCCACGCAATAATCTTTGAATCACAGGTGCAACAGCTCCCTTTTCTGTGAGAGAGGCCGAGCTTGGAATGCGAGAAGCAGAGGTCACCTGGGCACGAAGTTTTATAAGTTCAAAGGGAGAACTTATTAGTGCTTCTGCAACACCAGCAACAAGTCCTGCCAGGAGGGCCTCAGAGACGTAGACATAGTTATCTTCTCGACCATCTGCAAAAGAGGTATTTGCAACCACATAATGTATCAGAAGCTGTAAATCAATTATAACAAAGATAAATTTTAGTACCATATATTGATACAACACTCTATCCATGTAACTTCACATGTTTATTATCGGGTACAGAAAAATTAAGGGAAATACCTTTATAAAAGGCTGTCAAAATTTCATAGGTCCCAAAGCGAGCTCCAACCCCCAAAGTTCTTCCCACTGCCAGCCATAGGAAGCCATTGTACAAACCTACAATATGCATCACAAACCAAACTTAGTACTTATCAGTAAGCCCTTGAGGATGTTTTGGGGGGAGCAACAGGATGTGGAAACACTAATGAAACCATCCTAGTATCTCTCATGTACTCCCATGCTTCTTATATCTTGTCAAGTAAAGGTAGAATTGAAAAAATAAAAAATTCGGGGAAGCACCTGTATTTCCTGAAAAGTATCGAACTCTCTTTAAAACCTGAGCAGTTGTCAGTTGTTTATTAGACCCTGAACCAACCTGTTCTCACAATGAAAATAAATGAGGATCCAGGGTAGAAGCAGATTATGACATTGCTCTTCATTTTTTTTATAGGAAAAAATATTCATTAAGAAGAGTAGTACATAACAGAGATTTTGAAAAACAAATAACTTCTCATGCATCAGAAATCTAGGCAAAGATGTCGGTAACAAACCTGAATAAGGGTTTTGGTAGTATCAAGAGGGTAAGTAAGAGCTGTGCCTAATGCCACCGACCCTACACCAGAAAGTGCATGGATTGCAAAGATCTGGTTCTTTAACCACTCATCCATCTAAAATTCAACAAAAATAAAAGAAAAAGTAAATATTTCTCATCAGCAATTGAGATAGAGCTTTATACGCCAGTCAAATTTTAAGTAACAAAGATTTATTCGTAATCTATTTCCACACATGTTACTCAACAACTGTCAGATACAATACAAATGCCTGTACAGTTAGTAGTTCATGATGAAAAAATAAATCTGAACAGGCACTAATTTGTTTCTTTCTCTTTTTAATAGTGACCCAGCAAGCATATACCAAGACCAGTAGAAGATACATAAGAATTGGTCCCTCTGCGGCCTTTCCTCAAACACGTTATTTACAATATACTTCATATATGAAAACCCGAAGAACATTAAAAGAAAAAACAACAAAAACAAAATTAATCAAAATGAAGAAATGCTTAAAATGAGTGTTTTAGAAATTAGCAGTCAAAGAAAGCGGTACCATCGTTGTTAAAGTCACTTTGCTTTCTTCTTTCCCTTCTTCAAAATCGTAGTGCGAATTCCAGCTCTCAAAACTCTAACAGGAAGGAGTAGTAGCTAAATATCAGCAACATGGCAACATTCTTGAACGAAAATCAACTGCAACACGGAAAAAGTTTCATTTTTTAATCAAAATTGAAATTCTCAGACTAAAAAACTTCTATAAAAATTCTTGAGCAGTTGAGCAATAAGCAGCGCCATCACGGGCAACGGAGGAGACGAGGAGAGGAGGGAATGGGAGATTGCCTTTTGGGCCTGGGACTTTTTAATCGAAGCCCAATTCATATTTGATTTGATAACACCCAACCCCAAATTTCACAAATCTGCCACTTCAATATTTTTTTATTTATTAAAAAAGTGGCATTTCTTAATGATTTAATGATATTCTTATCATATCTCCCTTTTTTTTTGTGTGGAGAAATTATCATATCTCCCTTTAAATATATATTTTTGGATTAAATACCTTTTTGGTCACTGAGTTTTACATGAAAATTCAATTTGGTCACTAAGAATTTTTTTTAATAAAATTGGTCATTGTGTTTCCTAAAGTTTACAATTTATAGACATTCTATTATCTTCCGTTAACTTTGTTTAAAGTGCAATTTTTAATTTTATGTTTTTACAAGTTAGGGTATATTGTGTTGTTAGGGTTTAGGGTTTAACAAATTGGGGGAATTTTTGGGTTGAAATTGGATCTGTGAGGTATAAGGTCATAGATTGGATGCTATATTAAAGCTTGAATCAATTGAGTGAAAAGTGTATTGTGACTTCATATGGCAAGGAGACGTAATCAAGGTGATAGAGCACCAACAATATATTGGAAAGTTGTTGATTTCATTTGAATTTGATTTGCCTTTTGTATTTTCCTTATACCTCACAATTTCAATTTCAATTTCAATTTCAACCATTTCTTTCAAGATGTTAACCTAATAGCACAATATACCCTAACTTGTTGAGTTAGATGAAGAAGTCTGAAGTTGCTTCCTAAAAAAATAAAAATAAAAACTGCACTTAACGGAAGATAACGGAGAATGTCTATAAATTGTAAACTTTGAAAAACACAATGACTAATTTGGCTAAAAAAATTTCTCAGTGACAAAATTGAATTTCCAAGTAAAACCAAGTGACCAAAAAAAATTTAACCCTACATATTTTTCTTAAAGCCCATGGATTGAGAGAACAATGTTTTTTTCCGCAACTGTTGATATTAACAAGTGAGGAGAGAATTGCCAATTGTGAAATATCCTGCTTATCGTTTCAGCGACAGTCTCATTCGAAGAAAATATCCAGGTAAATATAATAAAAAATAAATTTGTGGATCCTTTTCTCATGGATGGACCTGCATATTTAAAACTAAATGATCATATGGCATCTCAAATTGGTTATGTACATTACAAAAGTATTCCTTGTTGGAAGGAGATTTTTGGTAACATGTGATGAGCCCGCTCTGTATTCTCGGACCATGCCTGATAAATCAAGATAGCATAAGGGCTGGTGCTGATTCTGCTGCTGAATGTTCTGTCATTCAAATCCATGCTTCAATTAAAATCAGCTTCCGTTGCGAAGAAAGTTGCTAGCTATGCCCCTCTGGGCTCCATTCTCGCCATGATTGGCTTGGCAGATTGCTCTTGTCAAATTGGTAGCACATTCTTCCTGGAACAGCATGTTGACAGAAAGTTTTGTCTGTCAAGGTTTTTCACAGCCTACTCTGCTCACATTACTTTATGATATGGCAAATGAGAGAGAGAGACCTGAGTTATTCTTCGTCTGCCTTTGGAATGCGAAGCATTGCAGATTTCGTGTAGCATTCAGGGCTTCCCACTAGATGAAACTGAGACTAATCAGACAAGAGAGCTTACAAGTTTCCCTTATTGTATGCAAATGCTACATGTGTTATAAGATGCATTAAACCTACTGTACAATTCAAGTTACACCATGTAGCATGTTGTGCATAAACCAAAGCAAAAAATATGACCTGAAACTAGAGTACTAGAAATTCTTGCACTAGATATCTGACATAGAATAGAAGACACTCCAACTATCAACTGAGTTTGAGAGGATTTCGATGTGTGAATGACTGATCTTCTGTAACTATACATACTTTTCTCGGAACAAGTACCTTAAAGGAAGGTTAGGCATTCATTGTGGGCAAAGAAAGAGGATAGCACTTACATTTCTCAACAACCACCACCACAACAAGAACAAGAAGGACTAGAACAGTGACGATGACAAGAACAACCCCACTTGCACCAAGAAAAGCAACGACACCAATAGGTGGGTTTTGATTTGGTTACTTTTTTAGTCGATACTTTGGCCGCTGCTGGTGGCTCCAGACACTTCTCTTCGGTATACTGTGTAACCTTAATAGAATTTTTCATCCCATCTGTCAATCTGCCATATCAAAATGTGCATAACAGTCACAAACCATAGATTGCATTTGCAAGAGACACAGAGACATGAAAATATATCAAATATATAGATGATAATTTAGTAAAAGAAAATATTATTATTAAATTTCTGTTTCTACTTAAAGACGGACAAATGGCCACTATGGTTAAAGAAACATGCATACATGGTTGTAAAATGACAATGGATTCTTTTTGCTACAGTTCCAAGGGTAGCAGAATGCCCAGCTACAATTCGAATAGTAGCAGGTTGGCCATGTACCATAGCAGAACGCCCAACTACAATTAGAACAGTAGCACAATGGCCATGCACGCTTCTTTGTTCTGCAATAAACAAAGCTATATTCTTCATGGACCGAGTTCAAGGTTCGGGATCTTAGCCAATAAAAGAAAAGTTTTAGGTTTGGGAACTTCCGTGCATATATACATACATGAGCATGCACACAGATGATGCTTCCTATGCACACAAACTACTGTATATGCACACAAACTACTGTAGACATGCGTATGTTTGAATTTTGTGTGTGCATGAGCATGTATAATACTAGAAATTATTCTAAGAACACAAGCTCTGTATTATACATTCAAAACTGTATGCATGCCCATCCTTTAGTACACAGTGCATCCATATGAAAAGATAGGGACTATCCATGCATAGTTCACCTTAGAAAACTTATATAGACGTACATTGGGAAGGCAAAAGAGCGTGTGCTAGCTCCACTCCCATCGGAACGGCGGGAGAGGCTATGGGATTTGAAGGATACAGTTGGAGGTGGTACTCTTCCCTCACTATGATCTTCGGCATTTGTTCTTGCAGTGTCCTTGACGGTCTCATCTGCCATTCCTTCAGCTCCAGATTCCCTCACCTCTTCAATCCCATTGCTTTCAATTTCTAGCTCAGGAATTGGAGGAGGGTGTGGACTAAGCCCAAACAACTCGCCTGATTTATATAGTTCCCCAGACTTAGTCAAATCACCCAGCAAAAATATATGGTCTCTGGAAAAGCTATTGTTGCCTAAATGAATGCTAAACAATGACTCATTGGAAGCAACACTCCATTCCATTTCTTTGTTGGATTTACTTCTTGCAAACACAGAAGACGGGATCCTGCAAGGATCATACCCTCCACTCCGTTCCATCATTTGGACTGTGGGGGATTCTGTCGGTGACATACCATGCCCAACATCCGAAACTCGGGATGTTGATGCGGGACCCAGAGAGCTGTGGTCATGATGTTTAGGGAGGGAAGCAATATGTGGTGAAGTGGAAATTCTATTTGTGTCCACTTGGAAGAGATCTTCCAATGACGAGTCTGATGCCACTGAAGACAAAGAGGACAAAGAGATTAGCTTTCTGGACGGGACACGCAGATCACCTTCATTAGCATCAGCCTCTGGACGTATTGTTGAAGGGCTATTTCTATCACTCGCATCAGGAGCCTTTGATGTTTCTGAGTGCTTACTGCCTCCACTTCCATCAACAACTATTTCTGAATGCTCACTGTTTCTGCTGCCAGGTTCCAAGTCCATAACTGAAACATGCCCAAAACAAATTTCATAACAGATATAATTGATAGACTTCGCTTTCAAATCTTATAAAGTACAGAAACTAAATCCGCAGTAAGTTGATGGATTTCCAACTTGGTTGCTTGAATGGAAAATGCTATCACAATAACAGTTAACTAAGATTTGCAAGTTAAGCAAAACACAGCCGTCTAGAAAGAGGAGCATTCGGTATTAGTTTGGCGGACACGCATGTCATTATCAATTCACACAATTCAAAACTTTGAGCCATTCAAATGAATGGGTTATGAAAACCAACAAATTTAAAACCCTACCAGTTATATACAATTTCATGTGTTTATAATGTCAACAATTACCAAATTAACTGCGTGAGCCGTCATTTGCACAAGCATTTCAATATGCTAAGACAACAAGCAATGTCTTTTCCCTATAAATTCTTAAAATTTCATTTTCAGATATAAGCCATGAATTTGATAGCTAATTTCAAATTGATTCAAAAATCTAACAAATAGATAAAGAAGGAAAGAAGCTCACTTGAATCATTACAAAGAAGCCCTTCGGTCCCCAATTCCAAATGACCCCATCGGGACGATCAGCAGTCCTCTGCCTCCTCCTCACCTCTCTTTCTTTTTTGTGACAGGAAACCCTCCACCCCACACCTCAATTGAATCGAAAAATTGCCCGAGAAATAGAAATTGAAAACTTACAAATCTTCAAAACTCAAATATTAGAAAAAATGTAAGAAGGAGAAACCCTTTGATTGATAAACCCTAATTTTGTAAAAAAAATAGAAAATAAATAAAAAAGATAGGACTGAAAGCTGTTGCCGTTGAATATCTGAATTTGTGTTGTAGAAATAATAATGAGGGAATGCCAAATGGGAAATTAGGGTTTGTGAGTGGGAAAATCTGATGATGAAAGGCGTTGCGACATTTTCGGCGTTTCTTTGGGTTCCCTCTGTCTCTGTAACTAACGATCACTGCCTTTCGCGCCATTTTAACTACTCTACCTTCTTTGGACGCTACATAAGCCGTCGCATGCTGGGATTTAATTCAGGTGTTCGGATTCGTCCTATCGTGCGATGCCACGTCACGGGATAAGGATATAATAGTAATTTGCTAGTGTCCATTTGAGGAATAAGATCTTTGTGAGTTGTGAATAATGTGGCATTTTCCCTTAATTAGGATGCCAATTTTCAACATAATGTGTCTAGCCTAATAAAAAAGAGTCTTAACTTGAGTTACGTTCGAATTGACTCCCCATGATTTTAGTATTGTGTGTGTGAGAAATCTCTCTACTCTATGATTTAGACTATTGTGTATACTAAAAATAAAAGATAAAATAAAATAATCAAATAGATCATACTAAGATTAATTAATAGTTACCGTTGTAGGTTAGGTCATTTAGAGCATCTCTAATAGCCTTTTCAACCACTTTGTGATGCTCAAATAGATGAGACACATCATAAAAAATCTCTCCAACAACCTTATGAAACTCAATAATCAAAACTGCAACCTCTTTCTCTCTATTCAAGATTGGTAAGTTGACTTTGACTCTCTAAAACATTTAATTTGACTTCAGAAAAACGAAACCTACTTTGAAAATGTTAAAAACACGCATTTTTTATTTTCATATTATAAATATATAGACATTTTTCATATGTTTTCATTCTTTTCCATGATATTGCATTAATTGAATTGGAGAATCTGTTGGAGCAAAAATTATTCAAGTAGCAAATAAACATTTTCAAATTGCGGCCCTCTCTCCAAAACCCTAGCTGCCTCTCTCCCAAAAAAACCCTCATACATATGTTTTTCACTTTAAGGCTTTCTCCCTCTCTTCTTCCCTCATTTTTATAGACAAAAGGTTTCCCCTATAATCTATTTGTCTTCGTTTTGCTATGATTTTCCTCCAAATATCACAGACTGTTGCGTCTCGACATCGGATTTCCACCTGCGTTTCAGCTTCGGATCTCCATCACCATCCTTTTTTAGGTTTCTTTATGCGCGAAATAAGTCACAGACTCTTTGGGTTCTCTGTGTAGTTTTCATCTCTCATTTTGTGAAAGCTATTCACCTCTCCTTTGTAAGAGCCTTATCTCTTCTTAGTTAGAGCTTTTCATCTTCTCTTTGTGAGAGTTTTATTTGTATTGTTATGGCCTGGTTTTTTCAAAGTTGATCTCTTTTTTATTATTCTGAGTTTGCAATCTTAGTTGGGATGTCTATGCCAGAGTTTCTTCGATTTTGCGTGATCATTAATGGAGGCGCACCAGATTGTTTTATTTTTTATGTTAGACCGCTCCTTTATTGTAATGCCCCTTTGTGTCTAGTGGCTTTTTTGGCTGAATTATGAATTCAATCCTAGAATTTCTCAACCAAAAAAAAAAAAAAAAAATTAAATTACCACATAAGTGAACAAACTTTAGGGGGGGTGTATTCAATTAGGATTCTAGAGTGTTTAAAAAGATTTCGTTTAAGTGCCAGCTTTCATAGAACTTGATGGAACTTTATAATTCGTATAGAACTTGATAGACTTTCAGAACTCTTATGTATAATTTTTTAATAAAACTTTCTTAAGCTTTCATAGAACTTGATAGGCTTTTATTCCAGACTTATGTAGACAATATATTTCATTTTATCCTCATCCTTGTCATTTAAAGAAAGAAACTTGAATTTTTTCAATCAAATTTGTTTTTGTTACCCAAAGCAAAAACAAAAAGTACCTTGTTTGCGATGGAAGAATATATGCACAGTTCAAAATGAAAAGAATAAGAAGAAAAGTACCTATTTGACCAATGGATGCTGTGTCAACTAGAGAAGCAGTTGGATCGGCTGTCAAAGCCAGTGCTGCAGGCAATGCTTCAACGCTATTTCTAATCCAAGTTTGTCCAAATAAAAAACAAACCTGCCCAAAGAAAAGAGAATCCAAGCATTAGTTGTCCAAATTGCAATAAAAAATATTTTGAATAATGGCTCTTGCAGGCAAAGACCACATAAATTCTGAACTGGTCTAGCTTGAATAATAAGGTTAGATTAGCCGATGGATGAGAGTAAAAGCTTTGTTGCTTATCGAAAATATATGCCATTACTTGTCTGCTAAATTCAACAGATTCAATGTTGTCAACGTATATAGTAACATTGCTGTATATAAAAAAGATGAAATAAAAAACCAAATTCATAACATCTTTTCCTTCAACAACATGAAATAAAATTATGTTTAACGAAAAGTAAAATTCATAAGAAATATAGTGACAAATGTATTACAAATTTGAAAGAAAAGTTTAAGAAAAATATTTAACGTTCATTCATTATCCTTGATTCTCATTGTTGTCATTGTGCCCAACATCTCTCCACATATCCAAAGCTATACCAACTCTCCATTCATTAGCATTCTATTGTTGCTGTTCTTGTGTTTGGAAAACTAGTTCAGGATCCCTTTCATTAACCGGTAACGATGAAGATGAAGAAGATTTGTCCTCTAATTCAACAGGAAATTCGTCAGATCTACACTCTTTTGGAAGAAAATTGTGTAGTCCTTCTCAAGCGAACGCTATCTTTGTTTGTGTCGCATATGGGAATGGAGGTGCATACTTGAAAATTGTAAATCGTGACTTAAATATACCAAATATCCTCTCAATGACATTCCTCAAGGACGAATGACGAAGAATGAACAATTCAACTTCATTTGCGGGTGCACGACCTTGACCACCAACGAGGTATTGATCAAAGAAAAAATAGGGAGCATACCTTCACAGATGGAGGAAGGAAGCTGTTCGTCTTCTGTTGCAAAGAGAAAAGTTAGGGCAAGAGAAAAACGTCTGATAAAAATACTAAGGGGGGAGGTTGGATTTATTATGGTCTTTATTATTTAAAACTCTCCCCTTAAAACCTACGAAATTTATCACTTAATGAAATCCTTCCAAATATATGACCTTTCGAATACACCTAGATTTGATTCAACTTTTTAATAATCCTAATTGAATACACCCATATTTGAATGGATTTTTTAAAAGTTTATATAAGTCCGAATTGAATACACCCAGACTTGTAAAACCTCTTTTAAAGTTTGTATAAATCCAAATTGAATACAATCGGATTTTTAAAATCTTTTTAAACGCTTTATAATCCTAATTGATTACACTCACCTAATGATGGGTGGATGGAAACCTTTTAATATGCTTTGTGATGAAGAATATTAAAATAAAGCCAAAGCTCAACATACACGTGAAAAGCTTGAAAGAAGAGAAGAAATAAAGCAAGTGGATTTAAAGAATGAATACAGAAAGAAGTAGAGATGGTGGTCATTATCTCTCCATTTCTTTTTCTTTAGTCAACTACTTTTGGCTGTCACTCGCCAATCAATGGCAAGTGGACTAATACTTTGGATTTCTTTAAGTCTAATAGTGGCAACTTCTGTCATTTCTCATCTAAGCCTCTTAGCAACTTTTTTGGGTTTGCTTGTATTTTCAGCAACTCACTCACCAAAATCAATGGCAAGTGGGTACTTCAAATTGGCTACTGGTCCCAACACTCAATTGACCTCATTCTCTATAAATTGAAGGAGAAATCATCAGCAAAAAAAGACAACTCGACCAACAAAAACCAGACTCAACGTCTATAAACTCAACTCAAAAGCTTAAAACAATTTTCCTTTTTCATTCTCTGAATTCCCAATTGACAACTCCTGAGGAATTTTCTTTATTTTGCTTTGCCAACTCTTGGTATGATTTTTTCTTGTACAAGATTGAATAGAGAAATCTTCAATCTTCATTTTAATTTTATATATCCAGGTATGAATAGAGAAATATTCAGGCTGTGTTGTTTATGTATTTCCTTTTTCTTTCAAGTTTTCTAATAGAGAAATATTATGATAAACTTCTATCATTTCCATTACTGTTCAATTTCAGCTTCTTTCAGTTACCATTTTTGCACTAGATGAATATTGAAGTCCTCTTAATTGAGGCATAGAAAAGAACCTGTATTGGGTCAGTTCCCTACCCAATCCACAATTGATTGATTAAAGTCAATATCGGTGTGCATTTGCTAGTCTTACCAATTTTCAATATGTTGGAGTTTTTCATTGCCAACAATGGCACACCTTCCTAATTGCAACAAGCAAACTCCACGGCCTAACACCATGCAAATGGCTGACAAGTCCTTTCTGGAGTAAACAATAATAAGAGTAACTGATTATCATTTGGCATATGTGTAATATATGTGTGTGTATGTGTGTATATATATATATAAATTCTCCTATGCGGACGTATGGACGTTATTATCATGTGGATGTTATGGCATTCACATGATAATAACATGTAATAACCCGATCCTAAATTAATATTAAATTATTCAAGTATTCAAGTAAAAGACAATTTTACCCTATGAATATCTTAATGGTTTTAAAGTTGAATTTTTGTTTGGGAAAATGAAAGGCACCATGACATAGATCACGTCGAGATGAGTCCGTAGACACATAGTGGGCTCAAATCAGAGTTGTAACAAGGAAGTTACCATCAAAAGAAGCCCAATGGCAAAACCGTAATTATTTCAAGAAGGGTTTGAAAAAAAAATTCTGAAATCTCTCTCTCTCTCTCTCTCCTAGAGCCT